AAAAAGGGGGGGGGGGGGGGGGGGGGGAGGAGCAAAAATAAAAATTGCGCAGGGGAAACAGAAAAGAAAATTTGTGCACCAAAAAAGTTTGAAAAAAAAATTTGTGCAGACACTTTTCAATAGGGAAAATTATAAGGTGAAATAAACAAAAATTCATGCAAGGGATTATATTTAAAAAAAATTATCGACACAAGCAAAAAATTAAAAAAATATTTGCACAAGTTTAAAATTGCCATTTCATAAATATATTTATATATATGGGTTCAAGACCCAGCTGTGGCAGACAATATCTTTCTGCTTGCGCTGGGTATGGAAATTATGAAATACACACTCGAGAACATTTTCAACTTCGAGTCTTAATTTCTACCTGCCATTTTCATTTGTGGTATTTATACAGTAGCTAGCATCATAAGTTCTTGCATTCAAAAGGCATGATAAAGGTCTGTAGTTATCAGTTTGCATGTGAGATCATCGCATCCACTTTGACGCTACCAGTCAGCCGAATCTGGTTGTGGGGTACATTAAAATATTTGGGCCCCCCTCAAAAACATTTTTCTGGAAAGCAAAAAGTTTTCTGGAAAATGTTGACGTCCCAAAAGTTTTTCCAAACATTAGCTTCAGATACAGATAATGGGGGCTTAAAAATACTTTTTCGACCTAACTTTTTCTTTTTCAGAAAATTCCTTAATATTTAACATGTTCCAGCATTCCGGCCCCCCCCCCCCCTGGGCAAGTTGGACCCCCCTTTTTGACTATTCTTTTGGGGTGTTACACCCCAGTAGTTCCGGCCCTGGTACCACACAATGCAGGTTTTCTGCAGATATTTTAATTATGTAATTCGATATTTTAATTATTAATAAGTAAAACTAGGGCATAGCCCATCCCTGATTTCTAGTTGTGGTTCTGACTGTTCTTCGATCTCTAAACTTTTATAATCAAGTGCTAATCGAATATTGATGTCAGCCATTGTAGGCCTGCTGAAGTGGCAAATTCACTTCTGATTTGAAGTAATTTGATTGCCTCTCATTAGGGGCGAAACCCCTTTTAATTAGGGGTGTGTGTGCTAGAATTGCCCTGCGAAAGCCGATGATGCCCTGCAGCAAAAAATTTTTTTTGGCCACTATTTCTCCCAAAAATGTTGGCGAGCGGGGGAGGGGGGAAAGGTTGAAAAAAAATTTTCCAGACATTCCAAAAAGGGGCGGAAATTTTTTCGGACAAACCAATTAAATTAAGGGTCAAAAAATTTTTTTCGTACAAATTCGTGTTAAAACATGCATGAAACCCTTATTTTTGGACCAATATCTGTAAAATTTAGGTCTATAAATTCTATTCAATTCCCTCTGGAAGCTACTTTTAATAATAACTCTACACTCTATCATTTAAAATATTTCATTGCCCTGCCAATCCAGATGATTTGCCCTGCCAATCCAGATAATTTGTACTTTGGAGGGTGTCACCCCCCCCCCCCTCAAGTTTTTCCCCTGCCTCTCATCAGACATGCTTACTGTACCAGTACTTATTTTTCACCCTGCTTGGTTTCCTTTGTTCTTAGCGGGGAATATATTCAATATTCCACTCTAATCAATTTCCGTTTAATAATCCCCTCTAATATTCACCTGCAATTAGTAATCCCTTCTAATATTCACCTGCAATGTCTTTGCAGCACAAAAAATGAGAAAAAAAACAACATAACGAAGGCAATATGGCATTAAGAATTATTTCTATTCTCACTCATTAACGCGACCTCGCAGTGTGAAAAATAAGTACGTTATTTTGAGGCACCTCGGGGATATGTGTTTATTCACCTCGGCGCTGCGCACCTCGGTGAATAAATCACATATCCCCTCGTTGCCTCAAAATAACCTATACATAATATCAAATTATGTGTGGAATTTTAATTGTAAATATTTTCAATTTTGGCCAGCTCACTTGATAGAGAACACAAGGTCCCCTAGACTTGAACAAGATTTTAAAACAGTAATCCAATCCACAATAAAAATTACCTTGGTTGTAAAAAAAGATCGGGTGTGACGAGTTGGGTGAATGTCTAGGGTTATTGAGAAATTACAAAACTGGATCCCAAGTTTATCATCACATGCAAATCTGCAATAAACACCCACAAGCTCATCCATACATGTAGTCCCGGGTGGAAAATTTGTATTGGGCAACCAAGATATTGGGTGCCCAATTTTGATGCTTTCTGTACTTTTTTTAAATCTGGAGAGTGCAATCAATTTCCAAACTTTCCAGTCACTGAGTCAGGCTGATGTAGTCAACATGACAACCCCAATTGTTTGCTCGTTGAATTATTGATATTAAAATTGCTATCAATTGCATGATATCGATTTTAACGATTTCATCTATTGCATAGGCCAGGAAAGACCCTGGCCTGTAAATTAATATTTAAATATATTAATTAATATTTAATTGCTAATCATTCTTATAACACACTACCTTGCTATCCAGTTCTTCCAAACAATCACGTCTAAACCTGTCAAATACTCCTTGACTTTTGATCTGCTCCACAATATGAAGTATAATTCCCCTTGTTTTTGCGTCGTGTTCAATTGTTGGATTTGAAATACCAGCCATCTTGAAAATTCACGTTCTTCTCGGATTACTCGGAAAGCGCTTCCACTTTGGAAACAAAGACATTTATGGAAAATTTATGGAGGAAATTTTTTAAAATAAAATCAAGATTTGCCAAGATTCCCTCAGTAGTATATGATGTCTATTTTGTTGAAGAAGGAAATTCATCGTTAATTTTTAATGTTAATATTGTTCTCAAAGACTGTGTAGTGATAATCATAGTTGAAATATTAAAATATATAAATCATAGTTAAAATTATAAAATACATTAAAATATATCAGGAAAATTGATCTCAACACGACTTGAACAAGTGGAAGCTTCATCTTCCGCGCGTTTAACGCAAATATTCAGAACAAAGAAATATTTAATATTGACAGTGAAAATTTTGTGTATACTCGGCAATATTATATTTTCTTCACGAAAACCACAATGGATCTTCCTTTACCGAGCGTCCCTACTCCGCCAGGCTTGGCAGCGATATATTCAACTTTACGCAAAGCATATCCTGAGCAGTCGAATCCACTTCAAGTGACAGCGCTCGTAAAGTATTGGTAGGTTTTATTATGCTATCAATTTATACAGCCGTATTTTATGGCAATCAAGACTAGTATTACCTGGCTTTGGGCGTTTGCCTGAATTCAGAAATACATAGAATTCTCTGATAAACCAATATTCAAATAAATGTTCTTAAAAAGAAATGAATGAATGAATCATGATCACTCAATCATGAATGTTTTTACGGAGGAAGGGTTGTATAAACTCAATCATGAATGTTTTTACGGAGGAAGGGTTGTATAAATGATTATTTGCGCATTTGTGTTCCTGATGTGTGTCTCATCTCTCTACATGGTGAAAGTCCATTATATTCATTGATATCAATATTGTGCAGGTTTCCCGACCCCCCTCCCCCCCCCCCTCCAAGATTTTACCATGTATACTATCAATGCAAAAACTGAACTCTTACCATATTATTGGTTATTATATTCCCATATGGTAAATTGGTAAAAACCATAATGTTTAGTATTTAACACTAAGGCCACTATTTGTTGCATATTAGTTTCTCCCCACCCCACATGACTTTTTAGGCACCCACCTCGATGGCCATTATTACCATTTTTGACCATTACAATTGAAGCGCAAAGAGCAACACATTGCTTTACATTTTAATATTGTACTGGAAATCAATGAAAATTTTAAACAGAAAATGTACTTAACACTGCACTTAGAGTGCAACCTACCTGATACTCAGATTCTTCACGTCAACTCCCATCACAACCTGCTTTGGGAAGGAATGTCTTGCTGCTAATGGTTTTAGGGGAAGGGCACTGGGAGAAGTGAATGTAAAGTTCCTGAGTATTGGGTTTCTTATAATTAAGAATGATTCTCAGATTTTGTCCAAAATGATGAAAAAAATGGAAGGAGAATTTTGTAGCACTACAATTGACCTGTGATAATATTATAGACCTGTCACCTGTGATAATAATATAACAGACTGTGTGGTAGTGAACACAGGCTTACTGTGTGGTATTGTAGTAACAAGAGACAAGGTCATGGTGTATTCGGGATATCTGAATAGCTAGGAGGGTCCTAGGGTTTCCTAGGGCATGTTGCCAGATTGTCCATTTCATGCTTTTCAGAGGGACATTTGGTTTGTTTTTGCCTTAAATATCTGTATGGGCACTTAATAAAAAATTATAACTCATTTTCATATATTAGCTTGAAAACTCTATTTTTCATTTTAAGTTTTAGAACTTAGAACTGCCCATTTTGGACAATCCAACACAGAAAAATCATGAATGGGAGGCCCTTAGGATGACCCCTGCCATATTGTAGCTTTAAAGGCCTCATCCAGTTAATGTATTCTTCCCACTGGACAGGTTAGGTGGTCCAGATCCTCTGGATTTCATCAGCATGTTCTCCAATCCTGGCAATCCTCTGCATGGCATTCCTCCTCACTGGCACTATGTAAGCTCTGGTCTCTCAGATTTACATGGAGATGGCAGAATACACGAGTAAGTACCACTGAACGGAAGTCCTTTTCTCCGTGATGCACCACCGTAATTATTGGACTGCGACATCATCGGTTTCCTTTATAACGAGGAATGCAAACAGAACACAATTTGGAACTTTCTTGAAACGAAAAGGAACCGAAACGTCGTTCGGAACGCGTTCGAAATTGTTCTAAGCCTAAGGGCGCATTTGATGCGCAAATATAGGACGCGTCTTTACACCATTCAATGGCATCACCATAGCATATTTACGTGTACACGATCTTGTGATTAGGTACTGGACTCTGTAGCTAAGTGCTCAGAGCGTTGCACCGGAATCGCAGAGGCACAGGCCTTATTAGCAGCTATTCCCTAAAATATCTCTGAGGAGTACTGCGATTGTATTAGTGCAATTTTAATACAGAATTTGCGCTGTATAAAGTGGTTTAACCATTAACACATTGTGTTCATTTTGCGTAGGTTTCGAGGTGCCCATGGTTTAAGCGGTTATGGCTTCGAGCTAACCTTCAGACTAAAGAAAGAACCGGGACAAATGATGCCACCATCTTGGCCAGCTGAACTGATGCAAGAATTGGCAAAATACGTTTTCCGCACAAGTAAGGCTTTGTTCACAAGATATCGGCTGAATAAAGTGAATTTATGAACCGTTGTCAAATTGAACGATTTCGTCTTGTAAAAATCTCACAGCTTGTCGACAAAATGTGTTCGCACTGCTTGTTCACAGTTGTTGACAAGTCTGGAACAAGTTGTTATCATCTTGTAACAAGGTAGATGAGGCCAACAGACTCGCAACAAGTTGTTCCAACAAGTCTGATATGGTCTGCGGCTCTGCGCGTTGCAAGTTGTTACCAAGTCGATGACAACAAGCTCGCAGCAACTTGTTACGAACAGCCTGTACCCAGCGGGCAAAATGACGTTTATCCAACGTTGAGTCAACGTTGGAAATGACCTTCCAGACGTTGGAGAGACGTTGAAAAAGGGTTGACTATGCAAATTGGATCCACGTTACTGTTTCGACGTTGAAACAACGTTGAAATTAGGTTGCCAATCTCGTCAACCATAATTCAACGTTGAATCCAGGTTAAAACAACGTTGAGATTGGTTCACAAATAGACGTCGTACATTTAACCATGAATGAACGTTAATTCAACGTCTGTTGGCTGCTGTTGAACCAATGTTTGTAAAACAACGTCAGAGCAACGTAGATATTAGGTTGTCGACGTCGCAACCTTTTTTCTACCAAATTTCAACGTTGAAACAACGTCGTGTGCCCGGTGGGTATTAGTCATGTTGGAACAACTTGCAGCAAGTCTGTTACTGTCATCATGTAACAAGGTGATAACAACTTGTTCCAGACTTGACACAACAAGTGGGACAAGCAGTGCGAACACATCCTGATATTGTCTTGACAACAACCTTGTTACATCTTGTTCGCAGATCTGTAACAATTTGCGCGTTTTTTTACGTAAAAACGTACCGAAATTGTAACAAACCTGCAGCAGACTTGTACCAACGCTGTTGCAACAACTTGTTATCAGAATGTGTTCGCGCTTGTTCCGAGTTTGTCGACAACTTGCTACAGTATGTACACGGGCGTCAGTGTGGATTATAACGGTCGGCAATCGGCTATTTGCCGAACAAAAACACCAAATGGCCGATCAATTTCATTCTGCACGGACATTTTGTCCGATCAAATAAAATACACCACACTGTTCATTTAAATTGAAGGTAGTTTATGTGAAAAGTACTGTTTGAAAAGCATCTAACTATGCCTACGATACCATGCAATCAATAAATATTTTGATGAAAAAATCGCTCAGAGGAAACATTGTCATTGAGCTTCTCTTTTAGCAAATACTCTCTCAAGTGACCGAATCTCGATAGTTACAGTCCATAGCCGGCGGCGTTTACAATACTACTTACAAAAATATGTTTCATTTCTATAAGCCGTAGGCCTAGCTATATATTAGTAAATACCTTTATTTCCTAAAGAAACACAAACAAAGTGAAGGCGCGGAGGACGTTGCTAGTTGGCGTACGCCAAGCTTTTTTCTGCATGCAAATGTGCAATCAATAATGGTACGTCGATCTGTAGCACTGTCACGTAAAAATGGTTGAAATAGTTGGCTGATCATTCTTGGCCAATGTCCGAGCAACAGTCTCGTTAATCGGACATTTGTCAGACCTAAGCAAAAACGTTATAATCCACGCTGACGGGCGTTGATTCTGCGTTGTTCCAACGACATGTTATCGCCTGCAGTTCAACAACTTGTTAAATACTCTAATATTCTGATAATTCTAATAATATGACTCTCGTGCTTTGTTTCTAGATAACACTTTACAAATTGGTGACCATGTGTCATGGAACATCCCGTTAGATCGCACGCATTCTCGACTCCAGTTTCACAACAGTTCAAACATAAGACAGATATTACTGGCTGAAGATCCGCAGCTTACGAAAACGCAGTCAAGTCTGGGAACACTAAATTTTGTACAGGTTCGTATTGGTAGATTCGATAGCGATATAAAATCACGGAGATGTTGATTACATCGTCAAGGCTATTGGCCATACGGAACTTTTTTGCACAAGAAGTAGCGTAGCCAGGCGGGGGGGGGGGGGGCTTTGCTCCTCCAAAGATTTCCAGAACTGTTCTTTTGAAAAGTGAAATCTGTGCAGAAAAGGGGGGAATATGATTTGTCTCAGAATGCGTCTCAATGCTGTTCTAGAAACCATAGAAATTAAAAATTTCTCCAGAGAAGCATACCCCCGCTCACTTAGGATTCTCGTGGTTTGCCCACTATGTCTATGGACAACATGCCTTGGAAACAATGTTTCCTATAAAGTGTTACCAATCTTTATCCGTTTTCAATTTTGCGACGATATTGCATTACAGATTGTGGGAATTTGCGACGAGGAATTACATGCCGCTCAACAATGGAACGGGTTTTCCACGTTAGAACTTCTACGACGAATTCCGTAGTAAGTGATTTTAGGACATGTTCATTTGTGATAATTTCTATTGAGTATGCAAGAGAAGAGGTCTTAATAAATAAACTGTTCAATTCGTAGTAATCTTTCAATGATGCTCCTTTTTCAGTGCAGGAGGGCCTTGGTTGATAACGGACATGGAAAGAATGGAAAGCATTTTTGAACTGGAACCGTCTTTGCAGGTGCGTATCATTCCTGTGAAGCGAGGATGAAAGTGCTGATGAGAGTTTGGCAGTCATGCGACCATGGTTAGCTGTTCTTAATGATTTCCCAACACTATCGTCAGAAACTCTTATCAACTCTCATCCGCGTTTGATCGAGGCTTTATAGTCAGTGGCCAGGAGGACATTATCGATTTTATTTCAACAGCACATTCTCTTGTACAGTAAATTCGGTATAAACAGATGTATGTTCTTTAATTACATGTCAGGGGAGGAGCTTTTTAGGACCTCGTGCAAGCCAGTGCGGCCGCAAATGTTAGCAAAACCGGCGCAAAAATATCGACTTGGTGGCGTGCCTTGGTACATTTGTAAGAGCTACTTCATGTACATTACGTACTGCAACTTTTATTTCTTGACTGCATCCCGGCGAGTAGAATGGCGTGTTCATACGGGGGCAGCTTTTTCCGCAGCCTTTCACGAACGTACATAAATACAATTTTTCTGGTCGACAGCAAAGACAAAGTTAACATTAGTAAATGAATATCGCTGTATTTTTCAGGAAGAAGTAACTCGAGGACTGGAACGCGAAGGTTCAACCTTGAGCGGTGTGAATGCAAAATGCTATTGGGAAGAATTGAAAGACAGGGGCAGTTCAAATGATACGAACTACAATAATTCATCATCTATCATACAACCTCCACGAATGATTGATGCTACGAGAAATCAAAACTTTAATAAATTCTCAATTCTTCCTCCGATTGATGCGAGTAATATGTCGAGACAACATTATAAAGGAGAAGCGACAATGGATCGAAGTTCGGCGTGTAGTTCTGCGACGAGTGAGATCAGCCGAACTCGTTCATGTCGTGGTGTTTGTGTCAGGTTGAATATAGAGGCCGCAAGCCTGTTGCCACTTGCTTTCAGGTTAGTGTGAAGGTTAATGTTTGGTTTCTACTGCATCTGAAAATTAAAAGCCGATGGTAACGGTGATGATGGTAGGCAATGGTAATGTGATGGTGACGATGATTGTAATGGTGATGACGGTACTGGTGGTAATGGCAATGGTGGTGATGACGGGCATAAACACGCATTGGGTCTGTTCATCCATTTCATGTTCCCTGATTAACAAATCAGGATTTGTTTTTTAGAGGTCGTTTAAGACATGGCGGACACTTCACATTTCAAAGTTCCAACACAGACATTGCAATCACACTAGTGTCTGCCTCTGTTACTGGATCTATAGCCACCAAAGAACATCCTTATTCCGCGTGTGGCAATTGGTTACAGGTAAGTTCCGACATTTATCCCTCATTTGCCCCTTTGGAACTCCAGTATCTTTCTGAATTTGAGTAGGTTTTTACAATTGTTCATCTCGCTGCTTGTGTTATCTGATGTTTTTACTGATCTAAAATAGTCTACTTAATTAGCTTTTTGTAGGTGACGAATTAATCGGAAAACTTGAAAAAGATCTTGATGAACTCGCGCATCCAGAGGAGGTAAATAACAACTATTATCAAACTAAACTAACATAATATTATTGATCTGATATACTGTATGTCCTACACCAGTTTGTACGTCCTAAGCCAATCCATTATTACAGATGCTTATGCATGGCAGAACAGTTTAGAATCGTTAGGGCTATCAAGTAAAAGTAAACAAAACACAACCGTTGCGGAGTTTTGAAAATCTTTGAGGCATGAGTAATTGTACTTTTTGTATGTTTTGCTTGCAGGTTTCGCTACCTCGGGAGTACACCTGGCCCGAAGCCAATTTGAAAATAGTCGTTTTGCCGGATGAACAACCCTAGTAGTTGTGACAACGTCAACGTTGGGAAAATAGCGTTTCATCAGGTCCACTATATTTAGTGAGTTTGGGAAATACAACGGCAATGTCATGAAGACGTGTTCATCAACAATAGCATTTTTACTCCAAGACAAAAGGCAGCTATAAATTGTGTTCCTTGAGCATTACTAGTAGGCCGTAGTTGCATGTTCAAACATGCATGTACCCTTAATATTTACATAAGAAAAAGATAAAAACTTTTAAGTCATTAAAGTGCCTATATCATGGTTTTGGAGTTTGCATATCTCGAAAGTTTAGGGTATTTTAAGACACTTTGCAATATATTTAGCCTGCGGGCAGCCCCATACCACGTAAACGAGGGAAGGTAGTACGTGGTATGGGGCTGCCCGCAGGCTACAATATATTTTGTTATTGAAAAATTTCATCTTGATGGATTTACTAGCTCTTAAAATTACCGGACATGACGTCAAAAGGAGAATTGCAAATCAGTTTTCCTTTGTATCATTGCAACAAAATTCTCCTTTTGACGTCATGTCCGGTAACTTTAAGAGCTAATAAATCCATCAAGATGAAATTTTTCAATAACAAAATATATTGCAAAGTGTCTTAAAATACCCTAAACTTTCGGGATATGCAAACACTACAACCATGATATAGGCACTTTAATACTAAGAGGCAAATAAAGTTTTAGTAATGCGTACTTTCCCTCGAAGACAGAAATGTCAAGTAATTTTTTTTAACAAACTCGCCAATGACAGGATGAAAATCCTTTACCGGTTTCAGTACGCTTAACAGGGCTTTCAAAATAAGCCGGTGGCCGCCGGATCTAAGATGCATGGCCATGGTACAGTGAAACTAATGTTATTCCAAAAAAAATGATGTAGAGTTTAATGTTTTTATTCCATATCACATTCACATAACCGTTTTATTATTAGCATGTGCCAAAGGAAAACTTATTATAAATGTTGTAAAAATGTACTAGAAATTTTAAATGTGTAAATAAAATGCTTTCGCAATTTTTAAAAGTCTGGATAATATTGCGTACGTTTCAATCTTTGCGCCAGTTTCAAGTGGTACGTTTCAATCTCGACGTAGCTAGCCCCTTGCCTATTTTGCGCCAGTTTCATGTGTCGATTATAACGCTAAATAAAGGCCATGACACGCTGCGATTCTGTGCATGCAAGGTTGGTCACTAATTATGGCGTAATTGGGATCATGTGATATTGGATTCATCCTCAACTAGAGTTTATTGAAAATGTGGATATTATGAAGTCTAAAAGATTTGAAAGACTGGTTATTACGAGGTTATTATTATAACCCATAATGTCAAAAAAGGCAAGTAGTATGAGTTAAATATTTTTAAAAATAACATGCATGTCTAATTATAATCCCGTATAATTTATTTACCTTTGTATAAGTCCATCTAGTTAGATACACACCTAGCCTGAGTATCAGCCCCTCGGTATTGAGACACACACCCAGAGGAGGAGATTTGATGGTCGTTGTTGAAGGCTCAGTGTCACCTGTTGAGCAATATTATTTAATTGCTAAAATTTACTGCTGAGCATGCGCACATGGTCCAGTTTGAAAAAGTTCGTGTAGAAAATCAATAAGTTAAGCCTTAAATAACATCGCTCAACAGGTGACACTGAGCCTCTAAACTGGAAGGGGAACGACGTCAGAGAGGTTTTCAAGATGGCGGCTATTTTTTAAAATCATTAAAACATGAAAGAATCAACAACCATATATGCACTTATAACAATCCTAAACCCGCATAAACCTTACTCTAAACCTTACCCTGAACCCAATCCCAACTCTACAAGCAAGCGAACCTCGAGTTTACCTTGAAAACATCCCTCTTAGTCTTATCTATCCCTTTTTAGTCATTACCGAAACTTGACATGCCATTCAAGGTGCTGTTTATATGGGAGATGGGCTGGCTAGGCCGCGGGATATGAGCGTATAGGTACTAACCCATTGATAGTTTGAATACTTCTCTGGAAAAGGATTAAAACTAACCCGTGGGGTTTTCAACAAATTAACCCGAGTTCGTTCAATGATGCTCATATAAACAGCTCTTGAGGTTTCATTATCTGCTTCCAAACGTTTTATAAATAAATCTGTTACTTTCGATATCATTTAACTTTTTCAATGGCACTTAAACCGAATATACATGTCACTTTCATATTAATCCAACCTCGTACCCAGGCTACTTTCTGCATTTTACTATCCTGATTATTTGTAGTCATGTGGTTTGGTAAAGATGGCTGAACCACTGGTGAATCCAAGGATGATTGTTGTACAATATTATTGAAGTACGTTTACTGAAATTCAGGTTTTCGCAGTTGTTTTGACTGCTGTGTAAAGACTTCATAAACATTTTTGTACATTCTTTAAACTTCTGCACAATTTCAGCTAACTTTTCACTAATTACAATGTTTCGAACTTGGTATGGAACTATGCAATTGTGCCCCTCGTAGTTTCACGATAGTACGATACTGAATGAAAAACCTTTTTACAAAGCTACAGCTTTGTAAAAAGAAAAGGTTTTTCAATAATTGTTTTTGTTTGTGGAAACACCACGTAAATTTATTACTGCAAGAAATTTATTACTGAAAAGGTTTCTTATCGCACCCTAGATTTGAGCAGAGGTCATGAAGTTGAGAAAACTCTCATTCAAACTCTCGCTTGCCAACTCTTATCTACTCTTATCCTCAAGGTCAAGGACGTAGTAATATTTGCATGTTGCAATACTCATAAAGTCAAATAATAAAGCAATGCCAGGACGATAGCCCTAGGTACGAGGTTGCATATCATTATGATTTTTAATTTCTGAAACTGATTAGAATTTCTTTCACTAAATAATTAAAATTCTGGGACTATTTTCCCTAAGTAGTATATTTCCGGTATTTAATACCTCTCTCTAGAAAATTTCTTAGGAATTCATTTCAACTTCCATGCGTTGGCATTCTTTTTCTGGTATAAACCAAAATTTCAGGAACTCGTATGATGACCAACAGATAGCACACGAAGGAGCCTGGTACAGAACTCTTGCTTGCAGCCCCTGGAAGTAACCACGAAACCCCTGCAGCTTGTAGATAGTCCTTACTGCATCTATCATGCCCGACACTAAAGGATGTTTATGTCCCTGGTTCATGATAGCCCCAACAGCATTTTGTTCCTGGGTGTTAAGTAAAGTCTTTGCAACGTCAAGCGGAGTGGTAACCGCTGCGGCAAGCGCGCCTGCGGTACCGCCTGCAATCAGGTGTGTCTTTGGGTCATAATTATGTTGCGGGTTTAACCATTCCCGCATAAATTCGTACACGACAAAGTGTAAACTTTGAAATGGAATGTTCATTGTTACTTGGGTAGTGTAGCTACGATAGAATGCAGTGATGCGCTCTGTTTTCCACACATGTCTTGTACAGTCTAGGACTCCTCGATACGGACTGTTATAGATCTGCATTCTCTGTTTGATAACTATTCAAGAATTAAAAATGAAAAACAAGATACTTTAATCAAAAGGTTAATGTGCATATTAAAGTGTGAAACTTCACACACGATTGCCTTGTAAAGAAAATTCAAAATGACCAAATAGGATAATGTGCCTGTCTTAACTAGCTTGCTTTATTCGTGGGAAATTTAACAATTTTTGATGGGCACATTATCCTCACCACGACATCATATCCTCACTATGACATCATGTCCTCACCAAGACATCATATCTGCACTATGACATCATATTCTCCCTACGACATCATATCCTCACAGGTATGATGTCATATCAGTCCTCACTATGATGTCATATCCAAGTCTTTAACCGGATAATGGCAGATATTTTTCGGTTAAATTTTGTCCCCAAGGTAAGATGATGTGATGCAGTATATCAAAGCATAATGCTAGTGATTTACAACTTTTCGAATTCCTGTGTTAGATACTGTAAATCACAGCCATAATGTCTTGGTTTGACACAACAGATATGACTTCTGATTATATGTATACTTTCAGTTAATTCACTGTTGCCAGTATTTGCAACCAATGCTAATTCTACGAAATTGAACAACATTTCTTGTCAATTCTGACTTTTCAGCTAGAGCTGGGAGAAAGCTTTGCTGCTCCAGCCGCCCAAAAACCACCAAAGCTCCAGCAAAACTCCGACGCACAGCACTTATAGGCAAAGACCTAGGTTATAATGCAGAGCGTGGTTAGGCGGATCAGACCATTTGTCTAATGCTCTCTAATACACCTAACTTTTAACATTGTTTTACTCAGTCTATCTAATGATTTTATTCTTGAAGAGTAAATGTGTTGATTACATTAATGGGTTGATTACAACCATTCTTAGATTATGGCTATAGTGTTGCAGCATAATTAGTGCTTACCATCAACAGGGTTCATGACAGCGTCGTGACAAAGTGTGGCCAATGCTCCTGCAACAGCTGAAAGAGAAAACATTCAAATAATTTTATTAGACAATAAAATACATCACTTAAGACAACCTTTTAAAGGTTATAAACATAATGAATTTTAATGAACTTAGATATGTTTCTATACGTATTTTTCTCAATAAATTCAATGTCAAGCAAACACCTATGACCCATGATAAAATAATTTTTGAAACACAAATTCAAAATCTGTTGATATGTGGTATTTATCTAATAGCACTACAATATAGCAAAATAACCAAACTAACACATTTTCCCTTGCAAATAATTTATTTTCAAATGGGCATGAACTTAGGACACAATTAAGTATATAATTTGAGCATAACCTTTACAGTGAGTCTACTGTAAGTGGGGCCACTAACGCCACTTAGATAACACTAACCAATCACATTGCAGAACAAAAATAGAAATCTAATCAAACTAAAGCTCATCCAATCAAAAGAAAGCACGGAGTTCGCTTCAGGAAGCCAGTAACTGCAGTGTTTACTTTTCAAGTCTATTTTTATTGTTTGACATTTGTTCAAATTGTTTTTGGCCCAATGCTGATTGGCTAATGCGCCGTTAGTTGATTTTTTCTATTTTTGTTCTGCAATGTAGTAGACGCACTGTAACATTGTGTCAGAATGGTATCCTTTTAGCCTGATGGTTTCCTAAGACCATGGCAAGGAAGACAATGTTATAAACTTGTGGATCGAAGATGGTTTATGAACTTACCATTTGCCATAGCACTATTTTGCCCTGATGTTGATCTTACATTACCAAGAGCTTTCCTAGCCATCTCGTACGAAGCAAAATAAATACCATGTGCGGGGCCAGCACCGGCTATCACAATATTTACGCCACGAATTACAGTCCTTCCACCTTCCTTCTTGGTGATTGTCTTTAAAGCATGACCAACATTCTGGTAGATTGCATTAGGGTTGGGACGTAAGCTTTGCATTCGAGTCTAAACCAGTACATCATGGAATAAAACTTTACAAATGGATATTCAACTTGTAATTTTTACCATGATAGATAATGTAGATAATTATGGGGTATGTTATGTACTGTTTAATAAAGAGCAGGAGTGTTTTATTAGGTTTACAGCCATGAGTGCGAGTGGCTTTAGACCTAATAAAACACGACCTGCGAGTTTATTGAACGGCTTCAAACAGGACTATAAATTCAATGAATTATTAATGAGTGTTTGAAGTTGTGTTATTGTTCACTCCATAATATCAAGTTGAAAATGTTCTCGAGTGTGTATTTCATTTTTAAAATTTTTTTCAAGTGTGTATTTCCAATATCTTTCTGCTTAATTTGCACATGGTCTGGAAATTATGAAATACACACTCGAGAACATTTTCAACCAGAGTGCTCAAACGACCACAAGGGAAGATATATATATATATATATATATATATATCGATCTGTGTTGCATAGCTAATTATTCAAATTTCAAAGTTACATAATAATATGAACTTTGGTCACACTACTCACACCATTCTGGAATTTAACACAATGCAAATAAAATAGGCTGTAGGGTTTACTATAATATATTAACATTCCCCTTTTGGCTTTGATTCATTTAGGTTCAAATTTGGTTTACATTCTATAAACTGCACATGCAACATGCTAACTGCACATGGCAAATATTTTGTTTGGGCACACAATTTTACAACGAAGATGTGTAAACGCTTAAATGGTTTTAAAGAGTATAAATACTTTAATTATAAGCTTCTTATTACCTTCTTATTAAACGCTATCTATCTCACTGGTAATACAGCTGGTTGGGCTACATTTTAATATATTTAATATGTAACCAGTAATTGTACAATAGATACCATTTATAATTAAAATCTTGAAACAGTTTATATATTGTACCAGGGGGGAAATGTGTGACTGATATAAAGAAGCTCGACCTTAGATAAAATAGGGTTTCAATTTTGGAAATCAGGTTAAGATATAAACAATTTCGTTACTTCGAGTTCATACTGTAATATTCCAAATTCTCATTAAACATACACTTGAGTTGCCTAGCTAACATATATATTGAACACGAATATTTCATTGTAAAAAGATCTGACATATATCGTTTCTTCGACAAAGTACGAATTCACTTATAGTAGGCAGGAAAATAGTATCAGATTTATTATGAAATCGTTTTATCTTTATCAAAGAGACAAAGTATACCTTCACAAAATCGACAGGATACATTACACAATGTTCCATAATTCCTGCAAATGCTCCGGCCAGCATGTGTACGCCAAGATTTTCCGTGGGCAAAGTTTCATATTCTGATTCCTCCATGATTTGTTCGCTCAAACTGGCGAGTTCCTGCAGTTTCCATCGTCCAAACTGTAACCCATATTGGCTGTTGATGTTCTCCTCATCCATGCGGATTCGAGCGAGATCGAACGTGCTTCGTTCGCGCAAATCGACAAATGCGTGTGTTACGCGATGTGCACGTGTATTTACCCGCGCGGGGGTTTCCTCAGACACGTCATTGCTGCATTGTTACCAAGGCAACCGTGTAATCAAAGGAAATGGATATATAGTTAGCTTATATAACTTTCAAGGCCTCTTTCAAATTTTCACCGGGTCAATTTCCTTATCAACGTCCCAACGAATATTTAGGTTGCCAACCCTTGCAATCCTTCTAAACCTTATTCTAACTATAACCCTTTTAATATCGCCTTTCGGATATTCCGCCGCATAGGGCTAGGGTGTCGGAATAAATCTAGCGCAAACCCTTATAGAGACGCCTGCGGAGGAAGTCATTCCAACTCCACCTCTAATTTTTGCTGTGGTGCCATTTTGGTCGATAGGGTCACGGAAGTCACCCCCCATATAGCTTATATAATTTTCAAATTTTTGGGTCAAACTTAATTACTAATATTTAAATTTTGGTGGGAGAAATTGGATAGCTTTTCTCGACTCCCACCCCGCCCCACCTTGCTTATTTCTCGATAATTTCCATCTACAACAAACCCATCAACTATATTCAATCAAGTGAGATTGGGAATCCCTGAGAAAGAGGTATCCTTTTTGGCTTATTTTCATTCTAGGATGGCTTCTTCTTGGCCTCTTCGCAGTTTACGAGAATTTTACGAAAATTGCGTTGATTATTTAAAAAAAAGAAGTATTTTTGCAGTTTGATTGCATATTCGATTGTATTTATTGTCTGAAATAACCGGGTTATAATTCTAGCCAATCAGAATTTATGAAACCAGCCAATTATACAGTCACAGTGATAAACTATAACCATTTTGTGCTTCGTTTCTACAAAAAAGTTGCTCTTTTGGTAGATCTTAGCTACTTTTTCAATGGTATAATGGTATTTGGCTCCGAGCATGCACAAGAGCCGACCAGCCTTTGAGAGACACATATGTGGAAATCGACCCATGCCCACTCCTAGGAATTTCTACCGACCAGAAAAATTGTCTGATGTTTGGCAGAGTAAAAACCATGGAGGGATTTCCCACGTCGCCACTTCCTTAAGGCAAGAACGTTTTATTAATTAACCCAAATTTAGCAGTGTTGTGGTCATGTTTCTAGGGGTTTCCCACCAACGTGTAGCATCGTCTGGTGCTCGAGATGAGATGCCGTTTCCGTCAATATTGAACGGAACGCGAAAGGGGAAAATTTTGCTGAACATCAAAAATTAGTTCGCAGGATGAAAATTGTATTCCGAACTCAAGATTCTCATGCCTATACCTTATGAAAAGCTTCCAAAATGTGTGTTCTATATATGTAGATAATCTACACATATAGAACACCAGTAGATATCTTGTAGACACATGGATGTAGCCTAATTCGCCTAATACCCCGCAAAAAGGCGTCCACATATTTTGGCGCATGGAATTATACCCGATAAAGGAGCTTTTCAGTGATGCATACAAACGTCTTATCGGAAACGGATGAAAGTAGTTTGTCAATATACAAATGCTGGTGTCGTGGTTGTACGAACGTTTATACTTGTAAACTACATGTAAATCATAAGTATTCTCTAGTTATGATCACTATGAGAAAGATCGTGACTCAATGTTTACGACCCAGGCTTTAGATTAAACGTATTTAATGGACCTTTCCCCTTACAACTAAAATTTTGATCTAGACAAGTCTAGACAAAAATTTCATCACAGCTTGAAAGAGCATCACAAATTTAGTAATATTCCAAAGTTTCGTTGCGAAATGTTGTAAAATGCGGATAATAAAGCCCTGCGAAATTTGCAATTTTCAGTCATTTTGTATTGCAAACAGGAAATTGATTCCCCAACACCCGATTGGGCTGTCAATTTCCCGTGCGTAATACAAAATTACTGAAAAACGGAAAATTCCGCAAGGCTATATTATCCGCATTTTACAACATTTCACAACGAAACTTTGGAATAATACTAATTTTGTGATGCTCTTTCAAGCTGTTATGAAATTTTTGTCTAGATCAAAATTTTAGTTATAAGGGGAAAGGTCCATTGGGTAATGGTAACAATAGCGCAAGTCAAAATAGGATAAATGATAATTGCTGTTAAATGGGAAACATCCAGCCGGACCCGAGATCCTTGGCAGCGCAAAGCGAGATCTCGGTTATGCGAGACGGTTCCCAACCTCGTACCCAGGGTTCTCTTTGTGCAGGTCTTCAGCTCGCGGCCAGCACAAAGAGAATCCTAGGTACGAGGTTGGACGGTTCCCATACAAGCGCAAGAAGAAACTCATAACAATCTCGGATCTCGGCAAAACAAGCTAGCCCGTGCACCTGTATGGCATTAAACACCCGTTTTGTCCTGAGACAGGCGATTTTGGTCAAATCTCCCGTGTTCTCGCGGAAGCATAATTTAAAGGCGCGCAGACTACTCTAGTGTATGTCTGTATACGTCACTTCAGGATATATCTTCGAGAAGTCGTTTGCCTTCCTGTCCTCCCTTGGTGCAATAATATTTCGCTGCATTTATTAAACCGATGGCATACAGGTATCGAGCGTATTCTGTGAACACTGATTCCAGTAGCAAAGCTGTGGTATGGATTAAGGACAATACTGTGAACCTTTTGGTATTTACACTGAATATAAAAGGGAAGGGCGTGCATGATTGTGCTAACCTCCTTATCAAATCCAATCTACATTTGTGCTTATTACACTCTGATATACTCTGATTTAATCAGATCAATTTAATTTCAACAATTTTCTGGCATAAGATCTTAGATCCTGTTTGATGTTTAATGTTTGATAGTTTAATAAACTTTATTAGTGATTATAGAGACCTAGGCCCCTGTTTTCCTGGAACACTGCCCCCTCCCTTCTCCCCTAGCTATTATGCACACTATTATTTTGGATAAAAAGTATCCGTGCAAGATGAAGTAGCTACCGAGTGCGTTTTTGCAAGTTGCAACAACATTGGCTCGCGTAACATGGGCTCAAAAGGATACACACAGAACTGTCATCTGTAGGCAACAGACCATATTCTAAACAAGCCTCGGCAAACAAAGCGGCACGATCAAAGAAACGCATCCTGAAAATGAAGTAATTTATTTCATCAGCGCTGCATGGTGGGTTACATCGAAACACTGTATTGAGTTCAGGTTCAAGATTGAGCATGGTGCCTACATATATGAGCACCCTGGTATTGAGTCCAGTTCGAGTCTTTGAGGTTAAGTATAGTGACTAGTGAGTTTAAGGCTTGTTTTAGACGTCGAAATTCCGTCAAAGTTTATTCGTTGAATTTATAATGCTGCTGATTTTTTAATTCGAGAGTAGTTGACGTTTTAAATGGTATTATTCCACCCAGCACATTAAGTATTTAACAGGTTTTGTCGAATAATTGACAAAATTGACCTTAAATTTCTGTCGAGTAATATTCATACCAGTAACCATTAAATTCAACGAATTAAATTCTACGGAAATTCGAGGTCTAAAACAGGCCTCAGTTATGAACTAGTTTCACTTATATGCGTCCACGTCCTAATCTGGAATTGAGCAATACTAACGTAAACAACATGAGCTACACTTTACAGAAAACTACAGTGAACAATAATGATAACTTGGCTTGTACGCGTAGCGTACCTATTTTAAAACGCTTACCCAAAGACCATGAGCAAAGCCTTCTTGAACTGTCCAAGGGAGATGCAAAGTAACAATCCACGACTCTATATTAGAACAAAGAACAAAGCACAACATTATTAAGCTGAAAAAAGCCAGAACCAGAGCACAATTTTAACAAAATCAAAAGCGGAAACACAGAAACCAGAGTAAATTTTGGCACAACATACTTGTTGACTGATCTGAGTCCCGGAAAGATGCTCAATCCATCTTCGCATCACCTCTGCACAATCATTGTAATCCAGTGTAGCCTGATGAAAAACAAAACGGTATTTTGTATGAATACATTGAAAGGAAAATTTTGGGTCTCTGTAAACCTATAGGGGCGTTAGTAGTACAATTGTGCGTGGGGAACTTAAAGCTCGCTGTTTTTGCACGTATGTATTGGGCAAGGCAGGTATTCCATTTCCATGCGCGCTGTCCACAATAATTTTTGCCGGGAATGTAGTTTCCCCCGGCCCCTATCATTACCCTTCGAATTCTAGATTAAAAAGTTAAACACACGTTAAACTTTCTATTAACTATGGTTAAACAAGTAGCAATTTTGATATAAATTAATCCGAATGACAAACCTTCGCCAACCAGGCTGCCTGGTCCCATTTCCCGTACGTCTGTAAATAACGACAGGCGTCCAAACCTTTATCTATCATGCATAGCAACTGAACACCCTCTAAATAAATCAGAAGACTGGGTCAAGGGCTGTGATTGGTGAAAAACATCAACTTTACTTCCGGTCGACGTCCGTGTTGTCAAAAACGTCACTTGCTTAAGCTCACTATTTTGGGGCTCAACCAGGGGGGGGGGGGGGTTTCCGAAATCTCAGAAGAGCATTTTCGGTGCTTCCTGAGAGGACTTTATTAAAGTTGTGAAGTTCAAGATTTTGTAATCATGCCTCATCCATCTCGAAACAACGGTCGCTGTGTATGCAATCACAAGCATGAATGCATTGAATTTGGGCTGGAAATTGAATTTGAGCTGAAAACTCAATGTTCCTCAGAAAACCCGGTAGTAGACTAACATGCTTGTTTTAGGTGCTGATAAAGCGGAAATGAGGTAATTTTTGAATAAAGGTACGCCACGACTGGTTTTCATCGCAAACATCAGCAGGTTTCTATATATATAGTATACGACGGTCATGCATGTGTAGAATTTTAATCTTACCGTCAAGCTTTCCATTAGCGATGAGATTCGTCGCCACTAACTTGATGGTGCTCTGAGAAGCACCTGATGATCGTATAGCAGCCACTAAACATGCCCTACAAAGAAAGTAAAATAGTCACTAGATTTTTAAGATCACTTTTGTTCCGGGGAATTTGAACACACCGAGTTACGGATTTTTAAAAATTGTACTTGTTGATGTTATTAGAGAGGTTCAGATTTGATGTTATTTAAAAATTGTAAATGTTATTAGAGAGGTTCAGATATTAACCAATCCGATGCATTTAATCTACACGATTAGCCAATCAAATTCGTACAAGCCTTTGAGAGAGTTCAGCTCACGCACCTCAATGAATCCGTGTAGTAGTTGCTATTATTCGCCTCAGTCTCCAAGAACAATTGAACGGCACGGTCAGACTAAATCATGAATGAAACAATTACGTAAAGTAATAGACCTCATGCATAATGACATCACAAGGCTTGATGCCCGTGAGGAATGCTGGTCTTAGTAGTCATCGCCCGGGAAAATTTCGGTAGTGGCCATTTTGAATTGTTTAAATTTCCCGGGCGATGACTCTTAAGACCAGCATTCCTCGCGGGCATCAAGCCTTGTGACGTCATTATGCATACGTCTATTAATTAATTATATTGGATAGCGCTATCAGCACTGGACTGCTCTTATTTCTCCCTACAGCTTTTCCCTTAATTATTGGTACAGTATTACTAAAGTCCAGTACAGACGAGCAAGTTTTTCCTGACAAGTTTATTTTGAGTGTATATCCACACCGGGCAGGCTTGAAAAATATGCCTGGCCACGGTGGGAATCGAACCTACGACCTTTGGAATACTAGCCCAATGCTCTGCCAACTGAGCTACGCGTCAATTATATATATATATATATATATATATATATATATATATATATATATATATATATATATATATATATATATATATATATATATATATATATATAACTATATATATATATATATAACTATATATATATATATATA